TGATAAAATATCGACTAGCTTTCTGTATGAACCTTCGTTTGTTCTGTATGGACAGTGCTCCTGGTACTTCTAGCGTCTCCAAGAAGTGTCGAATCTGGTGCAGTATCTTGTCCTGAGTATTCTCTCTTAGGACAAAGGACTCGGGTGCTCCGTCGACCTCCTCTGCTTGGCAGTATAAGGCAATCTTCTCCAGCCAATCATCTGCCTCTTCTTCTGCTTGGGCGTCTTCTATCTCCTGCTGTGTAGGCTCTCTCCGTGATAAGCCATCTGGACCTTTGTGTCGTGCGGCTGGAACATGTCGTAATTCAAATGTGAACATCAATATTCCCTGAATCCATCGATTGACTGCTGCATTAGGCTGAAGGTCAGGATTATTGAGCATGTCCTTGATATACTTCGCATCAACTTCTAAGATCAAATTCTTCACACCAACTAGGTGTAGTCTCCAATGTCGCAAGGCTCGGTAACATCCAAACAATTCCAACTTTGGCTGACTGTAACGTGCTTCTCGTTCGTTAAATGGCAGCGAGCCGTATCGTGCTGGTCTCCGCTTTCCATTCTCGTCATCTTGTGACAGGATAAATCCGACAGCAATCTTGCTTGAGTCTACTGACATATAGACTGGTCGATCAGAATTGTAGTTGATAGGGTGCAAGGCAGGGGCTTCTGTGATCAACTGTTTGAGTTTTGCAAATGCTAAGCTCCTCCTTTCGTCCCATATAAATTCGGTATTTTTGCGAATTAATTCCGTGAGAGGTCTCGCAATTGCCGAGTACCCTTCTATTCAGATTCGGACTGTTCCGCATAAACCTAAAAATCCTCGTACATCCTTAACCGTCTTGGGAGGTGGCCAATTCTTAACCTTCTCCACCTTCCCATCCTCTGGCAGGCGTCCTTCTGGGGTACACTTCTGTCCTACTATTACGACTTCCGGTTTGCAGAGCTGAATTTTGTTGTACGAAAACGTAGCTCCTGCATGTCCGACTCGGTGCATAATACGATGCACGTCCTGGGCGTGCTCCCAGATAAATCGTCGGATACCTTGATTCTCTTCTAGCACCTCTGGGTTCCCATCAGAATCCAGGTACTGAGTTTCGGGGCCTTTAATTGGTAGGTCGTCAATGAATATGTTGGCTTTCTGTGGAATTTCATCTTGCAAAATAAATGTCATGCAATTTTGAAACTCCGCAGGCGAATTTGTATATCCGGTGGGGAGAGACGTAATTCGAAGCAGACCTAATGGGGTCAAGAACGAGGTCATATCTCGACTCTTGGCATCCATTTTTCTGGCATCAAATCCCCAAAATAAGTCAAACACCGAGTAACATGCCCTTCCGGCGAAGGGTTCAACAAAATCATCTAGTATAGGCGGTGTTCCACAATCCCGGATCGTAACCTTGTTTAGCGGCTGAAGATCGTGAACAATTCTGAGCTTCCCGCTCTTCTTAACCACACAGAACCAGCGTGATCTGTATGAGGATTGGCTTGGCTCATATACGCCAGCGGCGATCTTGTCTTTTAAAACCTTAATAACGTCATTCTTGATTCCCGGTGGAATTGGAATATTCGGATAAGACCATGGTACGTGAGGAACGTAAGGGATTATGTATGGTGAGAAATAATCCTCCCTAAATGTTCCGCAATCCGTGTCTTGGAATGCTAATGCCTTCTCATTCAATTGCAAAATGTGTACAAATAGCTTCTCTTCTTCGGGCCAGAGAAAGCCATCTGCATTTATCCCCATTTTGGCTAGACGTTCTGCCGTAAATTTCGATGTCGGATTAAATTCAGGGGGCGTGACTGATAACATCGGTAGCGATAATAAAGGATTTTCTGGAAATTGGCGGATAACTCGTGCGTCCTCGGGAAATATGCCAGGTACGGGTTTGATCTTGCGATCAACTCGCTTGTACATAGTTAGACTATGCGAGGCATCGTCGATATCTTCTAAGTCCGTATTTTCGTCCTCAGGGTACACTAACTCGGGTACAGCGTCTTCAGCTTTGCTTAAGTCTTCATCGTCCAGCTGCACTAATAACGAGCGTGTATTCATAGTAGCTAGATAGGATAGATCCTGCAATCCTATCGACGTAGACATTGTTCTGCTAATAACAAGGCGAGGGCGGCGACGAATCGTACGGGGTATATCTGGACTACCAGGAAATGAAGGCTCGGGATGCGACAGAGATTGCTGACCAGCAGCGAAGCACTCTGGGAGAGAAAAGTCGTCCGCATGGAAAGAGTGATAGGCATGGGGGGAAAGCAGCAGCAAGGTGCAAAAACGAGTGATATCATACGTAACCAGATAGCGGAGGGGATAGGACTAATGCGCACCGAGTACTTCCATCCGTAATATGTCCTCAATGTTGTCGAAGGCATCGCGCAAATGATCCACCACCTCGAACATCCACTCGCGAAGTTCGTAGACGCGCGCCTCCCGTTCGTACCAGTCCTCACCGACATCCGAGCTCGAGTCCGAGTCGACGTTGATGGGATTAGCGGCGGAGCCTGGCGTCGCACGTGTGGATGCTGGCGCGAAAGGATCGGGACTTGATGAGGCGGTAGACGGCGGTGGTGCGACAGGGACAGCTAAGCCCTCGCCTGCCTCGGGCGTAGCGGCAGGGGGCGAATGGGCGTACGCTCCTGGCGTCTCGGGTACAATACTTGCGTCGTCGACGGCTGGGGCGTAGAGGTCGTCGTCGGCGTCGTCTGCGAGCGTGGAGGTGTCGTTGGTGGTGACAGCAGAGGTGTTGTCGACCGTGATGGTGGAGGCGTTGTCGGTAGTGGCGGAGTAGACGGCGGCGACCTTTTCAATATAACCTTCCTTGGCCGCGTCGTAGTACCCTCCAGAAATGTTGTAATTACCTTCTCCGTGCGTGATTCGGTTGAGTTCAGCGAGTGCCGCCCTTCGAACACGTTCGCACCAGGAATTGAAGGCAGCGGACGCTTCGTCGGTTCGAGGTGCGTCAGCGTCGGTGTGGGGAGTGAATGCGTGCGCGTCGCCACGTTCTCGAGCGGCGGGTTCATCGGCGTGGACTGGAGTGAAGTTGTCGATGACGGGGGGAATGGGAGTGGGTGGTCTAGGAGAGGCGACGTCGTGCGTACGATCACTTGCGTAATCGAACCATCCCCGCCCTTCTTCAAGTCGCTGAAGGGCTCGGGCGATAAGGGGCGGAAGTGGCGGCATGTCTGAATTGGTACTGGTGTTCTCCATACAGTCCTCGTCGTCGGCCTCGGCACCGCTATCGATGGAGACGGCGTCACTATACTCATAACCCGTATCTGAAAACGTCGACCGAACTGGGGCTGAGGGAGGTCGTAAATCGGATAGACTGGGACATAGTCGAAGAGGAGAGGGGAAGATATCGGAATCTGAGTGACGGCGTCGTCGTGGGTCGATGGTACTTGCGAGGAGGACGTGTGGGTTGAGCTGTGCGTGCTCCTCTTCATCGGCAAGGGACGACATGAGCATGAGGCCATCATTGAGCATGTTTGGTGGCTCACCTCGCTGCTCATCCATAGGTACTCCGTCGTCCTCGTAGTACTGGCCATAGTCACTTTCCGAGTCAACGTCTTCGACGTCACGTCCGGCAGATTCAAGGGCCGGCGGATACGGTCTCGCCAACCAACCTGGGTTGGCGTCGTCGTCGAGGGGAATAGGGACGAACCGTGTGTATAGGATACCAACGCGCGACGAAGGCGCAAGGTCGTCGTCGGTAGGAATGAGCGTGAAGACGGCACGGGGCGCAAAATAATCCTCATAGTACGAACCGTTGGGTAATATACCGTTACCCAAGTGAACTGTCAATGCAGCGTCCGTCCATACTTCGCCGTGCACGTTTCGACGTCCTTCCGCAACGGGAAGTCCATTACTGGATTCGTCAGTCATCGGGGTATCACGAGCGTCACGCGACAGATCCCAATCGTAGATAGTGGTGTCATTCGATCCATGGGTCCAGCCCACCCGATCAGTGGCAGTGTCAGTCATAGGATAACGTGCGTGGTAGGCGTCGGCTTGCGTGTAGTAGCTGAAATTAGCGTTAGCGCTCGCGTTCGTTAGAACTCGATCAGGCGCTACCAAGAGTTCTTGACGCGGTTCGGACGTGAAAGGATTGTTGAATATCAAGTAGGTACCGTCGATACGTTCGTCGATAGAGATTTGGTTTCCGCGCTGCCAGGGCCTGCCCAGCAGTAGATCAAAGGGAGCGTGTTCAGCGACGTAGAGATTAGCCCAAGTACGAATCCCTCCGCACGTCAGCGGCACATTTTGTACTAAGCCCTCCATTACTCCGTCGCCGCCATTGGCGTCGTGCATTGTGATCCGTCGACTTCTGTCCATCGGTCGCCGTATGTACAGTTGCCACACCTTTTTGTGTACAATATTCAATTGAGAACCGGTGTCTACAATGGCGTCCAATGGTCGCCCATCGCATTCCATACTTAATTTGATTAGAGCATCGCGATCATGGGTTATAACCGTGTGCGCCACAAGTGTTCCATTTTGTGGCTGCGTCGGGCGCTTATACCTAATCGCGTCCTGTAATTGGTGGGTGATGTCTTTGGACACGCCTATCACTTCTCCCACAGATAGCGTGAGAGGCGTGCTCAGGATCTTATCGAGAACTTTGTTTGAATTTGTCGTTTCCGAGATCTTTGATTGCAATGGAATCGCGCGCTTCCACTTTTCGGAAGCTTCTGGTTTTGTTCCTAGCATCGGTCCCGACTTCTCTCCGGGCTTAGGCACCCGTTTGGCGCGTTCTCTGGAGTCGTCTTCCATTACAACATCTTCGCGTTCCGGCCTATACTGCCTTTCGTGGACTTCAATGGGAACAAGACTTATGTCCTCTGGCTTGGCTTTCTCGCCTGGGGGTCCTCTCTTGTCTACTCTGCGTGATCTTGGTGGCATAACGACCCCATCGAACATCTCTTTGCGTGCGGCGCGTCCTTGCTTTACCCCGCGTTCGGCGGGCATGACGAATACCTCATTGTCAGAGGAGTCAGAGTCGTATTCGGCGTTGAGGAAGTTGGATACATTATTGTCCGGTGAGTAGCGATCTAATATCACATAATGCGTTCGTGCTAACTGCCTTTCGACGGCGTTAACAATAGACTCGGTCGGCGTTCGTTGGATGCGCGAGCCGTCGCTCATGACGAGCTTGCCTCGCATGTCCCGCTTCAACACGCCTTTCTCTAGCAACTCGAGTATTTTGGGACAGGAGCTCAAGCCATGCCCCGTCCCTCCGCAGCCGAAGCAAATCATTTCGCCGTCGCTCGTCTGCGACTGGAAGGCACGTCGTGGTCGGGGAGCCGGAATTATCGGCGGGAGTGGATTCGTTGCGAGTGCGGGTGCATCGGATGCGCCAGCATAAGGCGGTCGTGCAGCGAATACAATGTCGCGATCGAGCTTGAGCGCGCGGTAGTACATTCCAGCATAACGTGCGTCATTTATACTCATTCTTGATAGCTGTTTGACTAACGATTCAACTTCATCGTCATTGTGTGCGTCACGTTCTTCACGATCTAGTTTGCGCAGGCGCTCATCTGCCTTTGCACCGTCAAGAATGGCGCGGCTCCGCTCATCCTTCGCTTGTGTCCTTTTGCTATCTGTCTCGCGTATTGTGTCTCGGTCTCTTGCTTTCTCCCGCTTGGACCTTGTACGTTTCTCCTCCCGTTGTTCTTCCCTTTTGTGTTTCCTAGCCTTTCGCTTCGTCCGGACTATTCTGGAGCGAAAAAATTCTTCATCGCTATCCTCGTCACTGTCTGTTGCATATCCATAATCACTTTCATCGTCGTCGTCCCTATCACTGTAGTAGTCCTCTGCATCTGAATCGTATTCGTCGTCATCGTCTGAATCGTCTGCATCAAAGCGATCACGTTCAAATAGTCTCTCGAGGAGCTCTTGGACAAGTGTTCGATCGTATGGCTCCCTAACATCGATATCAGGTTTCTTAGCAAGTATCCGAACCTCTAGCCTAGTCCTAAGGCTCTTGGGAAGTCCTTTCCAGAATGCATAGTTATACTCCTTGTCTGTGATGGCCTGCTCTTTCAACAGCCACCCAGCAACTCTCTGCATTCTTCTGGTGTAGGTCCTAACACTGGTCATTGAGCTGATAGATTTCTTGCTTGTCTTCCTGTAGAGAGCTTTGAGGTCCTTCTTCCTGAACCTCTTCTTGTCTTTGGTATGATCATAGATTTTCAGGACTTCTGACTTGAAGGAGTCCCAATTTCCTGCAATATAGGATGGCAAAGTTTCCAGCACTTCGCGGACATCCCTACTACAGGATCGCAACAGCTTCTTTGGTTTCTCATTGTCTTGGAGGTTGCAACTCTTGGCTAACTCTTCAAACTCCTCCAAAAATTCTTCTACCTTCGAAGGCTTGCCCTTAAATTTCGGGGCTCTGGACGAACCAGGGAGAGGTAGAGTCTGATTTTCTACCATTCCGATGATTTCTCCTAGGGTTGTTACAAGCTTGGTGTTGGGATCAGGAGATACTAAACCTGAACTGAAGCTTGGTGAGGAGACTGATGATATACTCTCGCTGTTTTTGCTGGAAGCCAGTTCCGCACTTTAACTGGAGAGTGATCTGACTGATAATTTGAAACAGAACTCGTTTGCAGCCCCTCGCGGTGGGCTCCAAATTTGTCGGTTAGTTTAGCTGCCTAGATTTTAAATACCCAGAACCTGCTAGGTAGACTAGGAAACAAATACCAAGAGAATGCTGGATATATCGTTAATCGAGCAGTTCCCTTTCGTTCGATTGAGAGACTGATTCTGAGTTGTTCGAACTATCAGCAAAGAAAAAAAAATGAAAGCTGACTACCAGAGTCTAGCAGAGGATGTGTATAAGAGTAAAGATATTGAAGTCAAACGTATAGACTTCAACAGGTGTGTCTCAGACTAGAAATTTCCCCCTCAATGTAGAGAGTCGTCGTAGAAATCCAAGTAAGAGATAAATCGATTGCAAGACTGGTACGGCTACCAGTAGTGCTACTGACTGATACTGAGTCGTGCTGATTCTGAATGATACTGTCTCTTCTAGCTACCCAAATTTCTCTCCCTTTTATACCTTTCCAATTCAAGCTCCTCTTCAAATCCCCAGATGAGTTTGAATATGAAGACAATAGGGTGAGAGAACAAGAAACAAAAGTAACTATAGCAACT